ACACGTATGAAAGATTTGATACCTAGGATTCGAATTTCTATATGAGAATAGGGTTTTGATTCTTGAATCTGAAAGTAATAAGCTTTTTTCTGTTATTCCAACGAACTTCTGAATTTATTCCCTTTTGCATTACATGATTGATTCCATATTCATATAATATATGTGCTTTATATCATTAACTTATTACATGTGATCTGATTCTCTTGGAGTTAGAAAAGGTCTCATTCTTTATTTTGGTTTATTATGAATTTATGATCTAGTGAATTCTTTTTTTTCTCCTGAATCAATTCTTTATCCTTTGTTTCTCTTGTTCCTCCAATTATAACTTACAAAATCAGATGATTCGTAAATTGAATTGATGGGGATGCTCTGTTCTTGCAAAACTCTGCTTATCTACTTAGTTCACATGCATGTCACTCTCTCTGTATGGGTATATTACACATCAGTAAACAAAAACTGTATCTTCATTAAAACCTGAAAGTCTCTGTTTTTGTTCATCTTTACTCAGTGTTTTGTTCATATTCTTTGTTCACAACACCATAATATTTATTTAACTGAATCTCACAAATTTTTTTTTATACTTTGGTTCTAATTTTGCAGAAAATTGTGTTGAAGTTGGATCTGCATGATGATAAGGCAAAACAAAAGGCCCTTAAAACAGTTTCTACTCTCCCAGGTAAATCATTCTCATCCATCCACAAACAGAGATCTCTCTATTTAGTTTTCACTTCTAGACCAACTAATTAAACCATTGATTTCCGGTCTATTTGGTCCGGTTTAGTCTCCGATTTGGTTGGTGGGTGTAACCAAGGGAGAAAAAAAAGGTGTGTTTTCAATTTATTTATTGGTGATGAACAATCACGAGCTGTTCTGACAGAAGTGTCTCTCTTTTTGAACAGTGACAGTACGGTAAAATGTTTCGCTATATTTCATACTAATTGTTTATTTCTGAAATTCAGTTTGGAATAAAATCAAATCTAGGCCACTATAGCTTCTTTGAAAAACGTGCCCATCAAAATAGAAAAATCATATAAGTCAAAGAGTTTTTTTTTTTAAATTATTCAAAGTGCTTTTTACTTTCCCTTATTGGTCTTGTCTTATATCAATGGGGCAAAAATGTAGATGTCTATAGAAATGGTTACAATTTGCATCCTGATTTCTTTTTAGGAATTGATTCGATCGCAATGGACATGAAGGAGAAGAAATTAACAGTGATTGGAACCGTGGATCCGATAAATCTAGTAAGTAAACTAAGAAAGTATTGGCCGATGACGGATATTGTACTAGTGGGACCTGCGAAGGAACCGGAAAAGGAGAAGAAGGAAGAGCCGAAGAAAGAAGGCGAAGCGCCGAAAAAAGAAGGAGAAGCTCCAAAAGAAGAAGGCAAGAAGGAAGGAGAAGCGCCGAAGAAGGAAGAAGAGAAGAAAGAAGGCGGCAATAAGAAGGAAGGGGAAAAGAAAGATCAACCGCAACCGCACCCGCAACCGCCACCACCGGATCATGTGTTGGAGCTTGTAAAGGCGTATAAAGCATATAATCCTCACCTAACAACGTATTACTACGCTCAAAGCATGGAAGAAAACCCTAATGCTTGCGTTATATGTTGAGAAGACATGTATAATATAAAAGGATGGACCGATCTATAATGAGGATGGAAAATAAGAACTTGGGATATATCTTAGACCAAGATATATCGATTCGGATTGGATCGGGTATGTTTTTTTATTCCTCGATAATGCGAGGGAAATTTTTTTCCTTAAATCGATTTCGATGATATGTTTTGTGTATATATCGTCGATAGTACTAGATTTTGTATTTTTTGTTTGAAGGGAACTTTCTGTAAATATGGTGGTGTTAATTGCATTATATATATCCGTTAGTGTTTTTAATTTTTGTTAACCAGATTATGGCTCGCGTGTTGCGCTAATTTTTATTTTACAATTTTGTTAATTAATGTGACAAAAGTTTT